TCTCACAACAAGCTCCACCTACAGGCCAAACGGCTTGTCCCGCAGCCCCACGGCGCTTGTGCGCGCCTGTGCGCGCTTGACCCGCAGCCCTCTGTCCGCACTGTCCCGCGGCGCGCAGTGAAGAGAGGACAACGCCCTGTGATACACGCAGCTGCACAGAGCTGGGCACCTCGCGAAGCTGAATTCTTATCATGTCGGGTCCGGTTCCTCCTCCTGCTCCGCAGCAGCAACAACTCTCGCCTCCCGTCACAAAATACACCCCCCCTGGGCTGTCTGGCAATGCGTCTTCGCTCGAATTTCGAGGGTAATCCAACCGTGATGACGAGAAGCCTGGCCAGAGGGGCAAAATGGGCTAAGAATATCACAGAAACCTAGAACCTCGAGCCTCGGTACTCCTTCGCCTCATGTCCCCTCTCCTCCTCCTCGTCCTCCTCCTCCTCCTTCTCGTCCTCCTCCCACTTCTCTCTCCTCCGCTCTCCCCCCGACGCCGCAATGCTCCGCAGCGTAGGCCCCCGTGGATCTCGACCCTTCGCCAGAGCAAACTTTATATCCCGAGTCGCTTTTGTTGACTGCCACTGGGCCGGGAGGCGCGCGCGCCCCCCCAGAAGCGGCGCTGGCAAAACAGCCAGCCGTCACGATCTGTCGTGCGAAGTCGTCCGAGGTTTGGGGACGCGTCAGGACAGCCCCCCCTGGGGGTGCATCCCCGACTTCCCCTCGATGCCTAAACGGCCTGCTTTCTCGAGGGGACCTGGGGGACCCCGGGCGAGCGCCAGCATGCAGCAGGAATCCGGGGATCTGGCGCCCGGAGATTCCTCTCGCTTCGCGGGGTGCACGTCAGGAGCACGTACAGTCACGTCGTCGCGGAGCCTCTTGGGAGCCTCTTGGGGGACTCCTGGAGGCCTCCTGGGAGCTTCCTTGGGCCTCTTGGGGACTTCTTTGGGGCCTCTACCCTCTCCCTCCTTTTCATACTCCCTCCCCATATTTCCTTCCAGCGCCGGCTCTAATCATGGCCGCCGCTGCGACCAACTTCCACCTGGCTGGCGCTGCGCCGCAGTTCGCCCAGGTTGGAAAAATAACATTACACTCCAGTCGCTGTGTGGCCTTTGGGGGGCTTCTTTGGAGCCTTTGGGAGGCTTCTTGAAGACATCTTGGAGGCCTCTTGGGGGCTTTTTGGGGCCCCTTGGGGGCCTCTTGGGGGCCTCTTGGGGCCTCTTGGGGGCGTCTTTGGCCGTATTGGGGCGCTTTTGCGCCGTTTCGTCCCTTCGGAGGCCGTCTTGGGGGCCTCTCGCGGCCGCCTTGGGGCCGTCTCGGGGTCCTCTTGGGCCGTCATAGGGGCCTCTTGGACCGGGGGGCCTCTTTGGGCCGTCTTGGGGTTCTGTTGGGCCGTATTGGGGCCCTCTTGGGGGCCTCTTGGGTTGTTCTGGAGCGATTTAGGAAGCTGCTTGGGCCGCCAAGGCGAGAACGCTAAAAGATTCCCAGACCATAGGGAAATCAATGATTTGGGCCTTTGGAGGCGCAGTTGTGGGCGCTCTTGGGGCATCTTGAGCCGTCTTGGCGCCCTCTGGCCCCCCAAGAGGCCCAAGAGGTCGAAATTCTATAGGTTTTGGTAAGTTTTTGAGCCCCGGGAGGGAGGGGGCCAGTTTGGTCCGTTCCTGTGGCGCAGCTCCCAGGGGGGGGTAGGGGGGGAGACATAATAATGTAACACAACACAATATGCGGCAATTATGCAATCATTGGATACATTGGACACGTTGCATTAAGGCGTTCGCCGAAAAACGCTGCCGCTCAGCACGTCACCTCTGGACGTGGATCTGGCGCGCGGGCGCCAGATCCACGGATCGTGGAACGTGCCAGCCAAAAAGCATGAGGCCAGTGCCGCCTCCTCTTGCGACGGCGCACGCAGATTCCGCCTGGAGCCCGGTCCCGTCGCTCATCCACGCGCCTCGATCCATGTCTAGACGAGCGCGTTCCACTACCCGCAAAGTAACTATTCGCAAATGGCTTGGATACGCCACGGGGGATCTACGATAAATAACATCAAAACCGACATATGTGTGTTCGGACGTTTGCGAGTTACAGTAGGCACTTTGCGAGCAAGCAGTGGAACGCGCTCGGTGTGAATGTCTGCGCTTCCTCGACCGGGACTGGGCCCTCCCCCTCGCCGGGAGGGGCCTCCAGCCGGGCGGCCTGCAGCCTGCCGAGCTGCCACCGCAGGCTCTCCAGCTCGGCCCCCGCCTCGCGGTTCTGGGCGGCCGTGTCCCGGAGCTGCTCCTCCACGGCACGCCGGCGGGCGGGGGAGGCGGCCCACGGAGGGCGCGCACGGGGACTTGCCATCGCTCGGACGTCCATTCCCCGTGCATGTCTCCGTTTCGGGGGTGTTCTGTCTGCTCGATGGTCCAGGATGGTCCTCGATGCTTCTCGCCGAGAAAAAAATGCACACGTCCGAGCGATGCCAAAGGGGAGGGGGGGACAACCACGCGCGGCACGCCACAAAGACGCGCCACCGACCCGGCCAAACGACCCGCCACCCCGCCGACCCGGCCGCCAGGCGACACGCGCGCCCGCGGCCCTTCGGCGATCGAGAGATGTTGAGCAGACGAAGCAACAAGCCTCTGATACCGCTGAACCGTCCATGTACGAACCTCGCTGCACCAGGCTACTTGTCCCTGAGATCTGGCCAACTCGTCCAGACTACCAATCGCTTTCTGCCGATGGCCTGCAATCGCTCAAGGGGGGAGCCGAGTTTGAAGGGGCCCTGGGACACACACAAATAAACACACAAATAACACGACTCCCCAGATTCCCCTATATTTTCTAGGTTTTTGTCTTCCCCACCCACTTCCCATATTTTCCTATATTTTCCCATGCTTTCCAGGGGATCGACGATTCATTGTGCCTGTGTGTTTTCCCCCTCCTGAGCGTTGAGGAGGAGAACCTGGAGAACCTGGAGGGGTTAGGAGGCAGTTCCTCGGAGGCCTTCGTAAGAATGAGAAGCTTGCGGATGCCACGACAACGGAAACCCTAACAGCCCGATCCTCGAATTTAAAGTGCGTCACAATGTCGGAGACATATTCTAAACATGTTATTTGAAGGAGTTTCTGTGGAACTACCGTCATCCTCACCCCCGGCGCGGGGAGCAGAGGAGCCCAGAGCGGCCTCGCCAACAAGCGCACGCACCTTCTTCTATATACAGAAACTCCCGATCAACCGCAGAGCGGCCGGCTAGAACATACGTTTGCATGTTTATAACATGTTCTACACATGTCTTAGACACCTGGGAATTCTTCGGCAGCATGCTTCCTCTCCATGGATCGTCCTCCACAATATTAGGTGTGATTGAGCCATCGTATAAGCTATGAAGCCAGATTGGCCCAGATAAACCCCAGGTTACGCTGGGTACTGAGCCAAATTAGGCGGGATCAAGCGGGCTATGAAGGGGTTCTGCTGGATTCGGCCGGCTTTCACCTGCGAGTCTACCAGCACCGCTGCTGCATTGAACATCGAAGGAAATGCATGCTGATGAAGGGGGACGCCGTCCAAAATACGAGAACAACGCCCGTGCACCGTGCGATGTCCAGACTCCGCTCAGGCCCCGCTCCAACGCGGTGCGCTGCACCATCTGTTCCGCCCTGTGGAGAAAAAATCTATGCACCGCACCCTTCCTGGATAGAGAACCGACGACGCCTCGGGATACGCCAACGAGGAGCAGGAGGAGGGGGAGGAGGAGGAGAACTAGGAGGAGGAAAAGGAGGAGGAGGAGGAGGAGGAGGAGGAGGAGGAGGAGGAGGGGGAGGAGGAGGAGGAAGAGGAGGGGGCTTCGTTGGTACGGTGCGCACAGGTCGTCCGCGGACCAACCGTGGCGCCCTCCCTCCGCGGGCGGTGCTGCTGCCGCATCCGCCGCCCGCGGAGGGAGGCCACGCTCGTGCCCAGGGCGTCGAACACCCTCCCTGGGGCTCGTGGCCAACGACGCCACCTGCCGAGCCCGAACTGCGGGCAAGACTTGTGCCATGTCCACACCGTCTCGGACTTTCTGGGGAAAGGGGCCGCCAAGAGGCAGGCCGAGGCGCAGTGGATGTGGATCGAGAAGTTGTAGCCTCTAGGGGGGGGCCAGATCTTTGCACCTGCGCCTCGGGTGTCTGGCAAAGGGAGCCCGAAACTTCAAGGCGCAGTGGACACGTCTTGCCCGCGCCCGCGGGAGGGAGGCGGAGGAGGCGGAGAGAACACATCGCGGCGGAAAATGATAGTTGTCTGTCTCCACTGCGGCGTCTGAGGGCGCGTCTCTGGGCCTGGGGGCGGTCGAAAGTCGGCATGAGAGGAAGAACTAGCCAGCACGGACCACGGGAGGGGTCAGGGAACAGATTTGGTCGGATTTGGGTCGGGGGGGGAGGAAGGAGGACCAGTGCAACCCCAAGACGGGTCAAGGATGTTGCAGTAAACCGTCCCTCCAAGATATCTCTATCCATGTGCCATCGGTCCCTACAGCGGTTCATTTCCACTGCTGGAAATGCGCCGTTGAAAGACAACCATCTGATAATACTCGATCGTGGCAAAAACACCACTCCTTGGACTGCGAATCAGCTGTACTGTTGCGTCCTGACGATCCTGCATCGTGCCAAACACCACTCATGGACTTCAACACGGTGAGAGCATTGGATAAGGAATCATTGGACCATGAGATGCGGAATTCAGGGTCTGGAAACAGGTTCAACTCCAATCGTAGATCGACCATGGATATCACCCCCGCCCTGATCAGATAAGGAATCACCAAGGGTCGGAAACCTCCTGGGAACATTCTCTCACCAACGCCCCCCACCGCAGCGCGAATCAACATGACTGTTTCGCCCCCCACGGTCCTATCTGGCGCCAGAGCACCATTCCTGGGACGTGAACAGGGAGAATCCGTTCACCAGTTGTATTTGTTTCAACGAATGTACGCGGCGCTAAGGCGATAGCCACATGCTGAACAAGAACTGCCCTGTCATAAATGGAAGCATTGCGACGACTTTTAGAAGAACGTGCACGCCTCTAAAACCGAAACTATTTTTAGGAAACGACTCGCTCTCCACCCGTGAAACGCCTTCGAACGTTTAACAAGAATCTGCGCGGCGCTAATCCGAAGAAAACACACTTTGAGTACCAACCGCCCTCCATCCGTGAAGCTCGTGCAAACTCGTAAGACGGATGTGCGCAACACTACTGCGATAGACCATCAACCCTCCATCCGTGACTACCTTGCGAAAAAGAGCCGCTCTCCATCTGTGAAACTGTTGCAAGCTCTGTAACCGAATCTGCGCGGCTCCGAAGCGAGAACTACAATTTGGAAATCGACCGCTCTCCATCCATGAAGCTCTTGCAACACCTCTTACAACGAATGCGAACGGCGCTGGAAAAAACACCACATATTGAAGACCACCCGCCGTCCATCCGTGAATCTCCTGCGAACGTTTAACACGAATGTGCGCGGCGCTTAGGCGAGAACCACACTTTGAAAACCTCCGACCTCCATCCGTGACATTGCTACAAACTCTTAAAACCAATGTCCGCGGCACTGCAGCCATGTCCACATTTTGAAAACCATGGGCCATCAGCCATCCATCCGTGAATACCTTGCAAACTGGTAAAGGGATGTGTGGAGCGCTGAGGCGAGAGCTACGATTTGAAAACCACCCGCCCTCCATCTGTGAAGCCGTTACAGATTGAAAGCTGCAAGATCAGAAATGGAGAGGAAGTCTCAGGCAAACAACCTGGCCTGCCCTACCAACACGCCTCGGAGTGGGATTAGGGGGATAAGGATGAGGAGGAGGAGGCGACCCAGAGCAAACACACGATGCATCGGCGGTGCTGCATCACGCGCTCCCGCCCCAGGCCCCCGGGCTCCGCCGCTTGGATAGGAGCTCTCCCAGAAGCAGGCGTGCGGGTAGACGAGGGTGTACGGGCAATTTGGGAAGGGCACCCCGGATGATGCAGCAAAGAAGACGTCCGGCCATGCGGCCAATGCCACTCCCCTGGGCAATCACCCGCGACCTGCACAACCAGAGAGCCGATGGGGAGGTGCACCGCCCACTACGCACATCCTGGAGAGAACGGATATTTGCCCCGCCTCTCTACTCGCCGATGCAGGCGGCGCCGACCACTCTGGATTCCATGACTATGCTGGTGTGCTCACTGGAGGGAATGGGAGGACAAGAGAGCAATTTCAATGATGGTGGGATGAGGACAGAGGGGAGGACGGAGGGGGCAGGGAGGGGAAAGGAAGGACGAGAGACAACACAACTATTATGGAAGGTGTTTCTTTTCAGGGGGAACATCGGAAGCAAGGCGTAAAACGGCGGGGCCAAATGAGACATGCCGATCCAGGCACGGGACGTGGGGACCAACGACGTGGAGCGATGGTCGAGGGGGAGGGCGAGGCAGCACCGCAGCATGGAGGAGCCAGAAAGGGGGACGAGCGGCAGCACGAAAGATCAGGGCGGGCGGCGGCGAGGAGAAGAACGAGTAGTCGGGGACGGACAGAAGCCCGATTAGTAAAGCGTAGCTTAGTGAAAATGACCTCGGGCCGAAACCTGGCGGGCGCAAGCCTGGAAAATGACGACCGCGGCGCACTCTCGAGAGCCGAAAACGGACGCTTCACTAATCGACGTGGCAGGGTGGGGGTTCCGTCCACCCCCGAACTAGGTACATGACTGAGGGGCACCGTCGGGGGGAACGGGCTCAAGGGGGGATTCACCAAGAAAGGACGCCTACCCCTTTGGGAGGGGACCAAAGTTAGGAGGGCCAAGACATGAAGGATAGATGTCCTTTCTGCATCCCTAATGCGAGGACGGGGACCCCAGTGCGGCCACGTCTTCCTCGTGATATTAAAAGTAGGGGCTCTATATTATCCTCAACGGAGTGAGGGAAAGCATCGAAGAGCCTGAATCGGCGATACGTCGCCGACAGGTGGGCGGCAAGCCCCCGATAGCGAGACCGGGCGCTCCAGTGGCGGGGTGGGCTGTCGGGCCCACATCGGCGATCAGAGGGCGATTGGGCTTCGATGCGTCTCCCCCTGAGCCCATCCCCCCCTTCCCCCCCCTTGCCCCTTGCTGCCCCCCCCCCCCCTTGGTTTTCGGGGCAGAATTCGGGTCCCTGGTGGCAGCTGAGGACGACAGCGCTTGCCGCGGGGCAGCCGCTGGAACCCACCCCAAGGCTCGGACACCGCCGAACACGTTCGAAAACCTCATCCTCGCTTCCGAACACATCGCCGCCCCCCCCCCCCCCCCCCCTCCGCCCCCGGGAAAATCCCCCTTTCACGCTGCCCCTGAATGCTTGGGATGAGCAGCCTCTCCCCACCATCTGTCCTGCAGCCGCTCCACCGGCACCGATGCCGTCGCCGGCGTGGACGTGCCGTCCTCGCGGGTGTGGGCACGCGGGAGGGGGGGGAGGAGAACGGGCAGGAGATGGCGCAAAACGATAGGGATCTGGGTGGCAAGTCCTGGATTGGGAAGCAGCTTCTGGGAGGCCTTCGTGAGAAAGAGGACTGGCGAATAAACCCGATTGAGAGGCAACTGAACCGCATTAGGCCGTTTGAAAGGGATTCAGGTTGAACAATATTGAAGGGGATTAGGTCGGATTCAGCGGGATGAATTCCTGGGGGAGGAAAAAGAGGGGCAAGAGGGAGAAGACGACCGCAACATCTCTCGAGCAACACGTTCCCTGCGTGGCGAATTGCGGCTAAGACGGACCAGCGGCTGCATGTACAGGAGCATTCGGGGATCTGCTGACCCGGGTCAATCTCAGTCAGGCCCTGCAGAAGCTGAAAGATCCTGCAAGATCCTGCACCCAAACCCAGGTCAATGCGGAGGATCCTGCAGGATCCTGCGCTCAAGCCCGGGTCCCCTGGCCCTGCAGGATCCTGCAAGATCGGGCGCTCTGGCCGACCCCCGTTTGCATTGACCCCCGTCTCTTGAGCCCGGAAGCATCCCAGAAGAAAAAAAGCACCGGCGAGAGGAGGAGAAGAGATGAGGCCGAGGGGAAGAGAGGCAACAGAGAGGGAAGGCACGAGGCCCGCCCACCGCGCGCGTGTCCAGCGCGGCTTCAGAAGCTTACAAGCATAGGCGTTACTGTAAGAACCAAGGCCGCGCTAACGGCGACGTTTTTTAACGGTGGTGTTGGGAACACATTTGTAGGAACTCACGGGCCACACTTTCCTACATCTCCAACATGCGAACGTATCGAACGAACACGACACAACGAATTGTAGGAATGCACGGGCCACGCGTTCCCACAACAGCGAAACCTACATCGCCGTTACCTACATCGCCGTTAGCGTGTCTACAGAAGCAGTTCTGGGGATCACCACGCAATAGCTTGTTGTATCTTCCCTCTCCATCAATCGCAGAAAAGCTGTAAACCATTTGGGCACAAGCCATGGTTTATTTAAAGCAGCTCGCACAACGACGACCTGGAGGAGAGAGGAAGAGGAGGAGAAGGCGGCAGGAGAGGAGGAACAGCGAGCAGACAAATGGTGCGCGCATGGCGCGCCCAAGATGGAACGAATCGCCCAGTCGCATCATCCGCTGAACGTGGCGGAAGCCTGCATGAAAAGCGAGGTGGCACGAGCCACGAGGCATTAGGATTAAGCGCGATTATGCCAGACTGGGCCGGTTCTTCGACAACTGATATGTCAACGCCGACGTTATTGTTTTACAGCCTCCCCCGCTCCAGCGTGAAGCCGAGATACCTGGCGATGGTGGGGAGCTCACGATAGAGGGCAGAACATCCATCCCCATAACAATTACCCCGACAAGCGAAGCCATTTGGTGAACGCACCCAGGGACGGAATCGAACAGGGCGGCGCTGTTTAGTAAACGCCCAGGGCCATTTTAGAAAACGAAAACTCCCTCGACGAGACCCCGCGCGCCGCGGTCCACCGAGCTCGGGATGAGCCCGAGCGGATCCAAGAGGAGCGACGCTAATCGCGCTGTCGGCCGCGACCCTCCCGAACAAAAAACTGGATGGGGACAGTCGGTCCTGCCCGCCCCGCCCCTCGCCCCCAGCCAAAGTTGGCCAGAGGAGTTGCGCTCGGCCGTCACCCCCGCCAAGATTGCAGGGTGGACCAGGGGGCCGCGGAATACATTGGGGCCGGGCGAAAGGGGGGGATAGCAAAGGGAGTTTTTGAGAATCAGCTCACGTAGCTGATTTTCCCGGCGCCTCCCGGCGCCAGAGGCACCCATGTATCGAGGAATGGGCCCCTCGGTGGGGCTGAAACCAGCTGCATGCAGCAGATTTCGTACCCCCCCCTTTCCCCTATCCCCCCCCCTTTCGTCCGACCCGACACACAGCCCCAATGCGACCTCGCAGCGATCCGAAGAAAACGGTCAGGACCTTCTGCTCAGCGTGTCGTGGCGGCGGCCCCGGCGACACGCTGGGCCTCGCGAGTGGATAGCGTGTCGCTCCGCGCCGCGGGGCGGGAGGCTCGGAAAGGCTCGGGACGTTGACGCCTGGAGACCGGGAAGTGGATACCGTGTCGCGACGAAGCGCGGTGGACAAGAACGGCCGCAGCAACACACTACCCAAAAGTTCCCGACCGAAGTTGCCCCTGTGACCCCATACCTGCTCTCATCGAATTTTTCCCCACCCATACTGTGCCTTCGGGTCGTCGCTTTGAAGACACAGCGCCCCGCGTCTCCCTCCCGATGCCCCCTCCTGCCTCGTCCCATCTCTGCCTCTGCTCTCCGCATGCCAATGTCGGAGCACCCCATACGCGTTTCGGGACACCTCAGGGAGCTCCAACGAAGCCCCCAATGGCCATGATCGTATGTGGCCGCCTTGCCCATTCCGGCACACCCATCACACGTTTCGTGCCCCCATATGGAGCTCCCCCATGTGCGCATGTGGCCGCCCCACCCATTTTGGCACAACCACTCAGGTGCTCCGTGGTCTCATAGGGAGCTCCACCAACGGCCGCAAGGGCAATGTTCGCATGTGGCCGCCACGCCCGATGTCGGCACACCTTTCACACATCCCATGGCTTCATAAGGAGCTCCACCGAAGGCCCCAGTGGCCATGTTCGCATGTGGCCTCCCGGCACACCGCTCACCCTTTTCGTGGCCCTATAGGGAGGTCCACCTCCGGCCCCATTGGCGTCGTTCGCATGTGGGCGTCACGACCTTTCGTGGCCCCATATGGGGCGCCACCTGAGGCTCCACACCCCTCACACGTTTGGTGGCCCCATAGGGAGCTCCACCTGAAGCCCCAGTGGCGAGGCTCGCATGGCGGCCCCGCCCCATGTCGGCACACCCCTCACACGTTTGTGGCCCCATGATGGGCTCTGCCCCAGGCCCAGGTGGCAGCGCCCGCATGGCGGCCTCGCCCCATTTCGGCACACCCGTCACACGCTCTGCCAAAAACGACGGCACCCACAACTGCACACGGTTGGGTCCTTCGCCAGGATGACTGCTTCAGGAGGGCGGTGATCCGCAGACCCCGTCGGCGCAGGCCCCGACCGCGGCCGCGCGCCGCGCCCTGGCCTGAACGGGCAGCGCAGCATCGTTTATCAGATCCCCATCCCCACCGGCGTGGCCTGGGGTCCCACTGGCCGCCTTATCTCCCCCTAGGGCTGGATGTAGGCGGCCCTCTTCGGGCTTCGCAAGCACCTCCCCAACTGGGATGGTGGGAGGGTGGGGCCGAAATACCTTGGCCGGTGCAGATGGGGATGGGTCAGAGGATATTGGCTACTCGCGAGAGTGACCCTGGGTAAGAGTGACCTTCGGTGCGCGGCTTTTTGGGGGCCGCGGGAGGAACCAAACCCGACCTCGAAAGACGCGGCTACCGCATCGCGCTCGTCGATCGGCGGGACCCCGATGGGCCCGCACCAAAGGTCACTCCGGCGAAGGGTCACTCTTGCACGTCGTTCATTCCTAATCGCGCTCATTTCTAATTGTGCTCGTCTCTAATTGTTCCTGGCCCCCTGGTGGCCAGGAAGAACCCCAGGATAGAACAATTAGAAATGGAAGGATCCTGGCCCCCCAAAATCAAGGAATTTTCGTTAGCCATGTGTACGTATAGCCGAGGGTACTGAACAGGGGACGCGGGGCCTCCACACGGGCCCCGCACGGCGAGCGAGGGCCTCGAGGAAGGCGGGAGGGCAGGGAGCGGCGCGCAGGTCGGGCCCGAGGCCAGGCCTCGGGTCGCACAGCGGCCGCGCACGGAGCCCTGCGGAGCCACGACGGTGGGCGCACACGCGGCTCTGCCAGGCCCGGCATTGGCCACGAGCCACACGATGCCGGTCCGGCGCACAAAGGGGACGACGAGGAGTGCGGGGGGGTGGGCGGGAAGAGGGGAGAGCAGGAGATCGAAGCGGACGAGGTGGAGGAGAGGAGGGAGCTCCAGATGGGAGATCCGGAGCATCGAGGAAGAAGGGGAGCGGGTGGCGAGGACGGAAAACACCATGGAGGATGACGAGGGGATGGGCACGGGGAGATGGAGTAGCGCAGTTCAACAATGAAGGGATGAAGGATTGGGAAGCAACTCCTGGGCGGTCTTCGTGACATTATCAAGGGCAACTGTGCCCGATTAAATGGCCATTGAGCACGATTAAGCTGGATTAGGCCTGGGTTTAACCACGATTGGGCTGGTTAAGTGGGACTTAGCGGAATTACGCGGCTGCTGAATATAACCTCCGGAAGTTGCATCCTAAGGAGGAAGTGAACGAATGCACTCGTCCTCGAACTGCTCTTGCAGGCCCGTGATGACCTCCGTGAAACCGCTGATCGTCTCCATGAGCTGCGCCTGGAGGTCCTCTGGGTGCAACTCCCGATCAGAAACGCCCCTGAGAACGATCACGAACAACACGCATTGTGGAAACTCCCACCCGCCATTGAAGATTGTGCCGTGATGGGAACATGTTTGGCAAATCAGCGTGGCGATGACGTCGGCGTTGGTTTCTGACACCGCGTGGACCTTCAAACCTCGAGCGATCGAGATGTGCCGGTGGCGCAAATGATTAGGTAACGGCCAACTCTGGGCCACTGGAGGCCAACGCTGGGGTAACCGCCGTGTCAACGCGGCGCGTCAACGCGTCAGCCGACATGCGCTAACGATGCGCTGCTCAACACAGTCGAACACGGGCGAACATGTTGAAATATTAAACACACATGTTAGATGATGATACGCACGAGCGACACATACCTGGTTGCAATATCAAGCACAACTTGGAACCCCACTCCCTATCCTTTCCCCGTGGGGCTGGGCTGGGGGACGGGAGAAAGACGCGTGGCGTTGAAGATTCCAAAATGGCCCAATACGGCTCCAACGTGGCAAAAAAAAGGATGAAAGATGCCCAATCTGTCCTCTGGCACTGCACGGGGACTTTGCATGAACAGCCCGTATCCACTTCCGAAGGCCATCCAAAGCACGCCGAGACGACCGGAAGGAGCGGGGCTGCGGAGAGAGCGCAGCCCATTATATTAATGCGCGACCGATTTTTCTCGACGCCATGTGTGGACGGTAGCCAAGCAAAAGGTAACAGCCAGAGGGCGCCGCGGCGACAGGCACAGAACACTCTGAGATCTCCCCCAGCATCGGAGAGGTTCAAATGGCAAGTTAAAGTTCAGAGAGCATCACTAAACACAGGATTGCCAGCGGGTGGGAGCACTTTGAACCCCGATGGCGATGGAGACATCCCCATTGCGGCCCCTCACGTTACACCTACGCAACATGTTGTGAAAACGCACAGCCCGTCTCCACTTCCGAGGGCCATCCAAAGCACGCCGAGACGACCGGAAGGAGCGGGGCTGTGGAGAGGGCGCAGCCCATCATATTCAGGCGCAACCGATCTTTCTCGACGCCATGCGTGGGCGGGCGCCAGGCAAAGGCAACAGCCAGAGGGCGCCGCGGCGACAGGCGCAGAACATGCTGAGATCTCCCAAATACCCAAACAGGGACGGGACTGGCCGACAGGCCGCTGATAACACAAAACACTGAGCAGACTCCCTTACATTACCGAGAAATAAGAACACACTGAGCACAGGCTTAGGCGATAGAACATCGTTACGGCGATAGGCATGAATTGGAGCAAGCATCGAGTGTTTCATAACTTCTGACATGCGGGCACAGAGCTTGGCTGGATAGGCCGCTGCCAGAGCGGTACGATGGGCCCCGCCCTCGTGGCCGCTGAGAATGATGTGAGGGCGCTGGCTCTTCCAGCACATCCCTCGACGGCCAGTGCGCATCTTGCAAATACTAGCACGATTCACGGCCCCCCAAACTAGCTACACGAGTACGTTTGCGCCGCGGAGCACCGCATTGATAACTATCGAACACGCTGCCCTGGCGCGAAGCATGTTGGAGCAGAGACCGCATGCGACGAGCGTGCCACAACAGAGACCCCGACGGGTTCTCGCGATAGACTGGAATGTGTAGAGATATACATGGCTCAATGGTGTCACAGCTGAAATGGAATGACCGATTGCCGATCCTGAGCTTGGCACGCTCATCCGGCAGCAGATCGCTCTTGCCCATCAGTCGGGCTCTCGACCTCAGCGGGCATCGCGGCGCCTGGCCCCATGTCGTGCACGGTGTTCCGAGCCACGCCGCGCCCGCCGCGCGGGCGGCCAACCAGCCTCTGAGCGTCAAGCTAAACGCGCTCGAGAGGTGGTCCTCTGCCGCTCCGCGGCGAAAGTCGAGCGCCAGCCTGGGGGGGCCGCGCCGCTTGACCGCCTCGGTCAGCCGTGCCGAGCCTGCGAACAGCTCGAGCACCACGCGCCGCGCGCGCTGCCCGGCGAGCACAGCCTTCAGCCGCCGCCCCAGGCACCGCCCGCGCAGCTGCCCCTGGGGCGCCCGAGCTGCTCCAGCGAGCGGAGAGGCGGTTGCCGCCGCGCTGCTGGCCGGCGGCGAACGCGCTTCACCCCTGGCCGGCGTTGGCCCCGGCACGCGCATCACCGCCGCGGGCACCGGGTGCAGGACTGCCGCTCGCTCGAAACCGGGCTCCAGGAGCTGCGCGAAGTGGGCTTCGACCAGCGCCCCGAAGGCGAACGCCTCCGAGCTCGCCCGCGCGATCTCGCCCAGAAGCGGGCTCTCCTTGCCGTGGCGCCTCATCGACGACGACGGCGCGGCCCAGCGCCCGCGGCGCTGCACTTCGGCAGCCGCCCTCCGACCTGTCGCCCAGTCGTCCGACGCCCCTCCGCGCCGCGAGCAATGCAGGTCAGGGCGGAGGGCGCTGAGGCTCAGCGCGAGGCAAGCTGCCTTGAACTCGGCCGTGATCGCGTCCAGCGTGAAGGCCCACAGCGGCGCCCCTGAGGCCGTCGCCTCCGGCATCGCCGCCAAGATGGGCCAAAGCGCAGGCTGGTCCAGCATCACTCCGTCGCCGTGCTAGCCCGTCTTGCCGGCGACGCCCCTCTCCGCGGGGTGGAGCAGCCCCCATCTCGAGTAGCTCGTGCCGGCAGCAGGCGTCGGCGGCACCGGGCTCTCCCCGGTGAGGCTCTCGGCCTCCGCGGGCAGGCCATCGCGATCCACGCGGCCATGCCGAGGTGCCCGCTGCTGATCAGCCAGCCTGCTATCGCGTAAGTGGCAGCGCGCGGCAATGGCAGGCGCGTCTTCCCTGGCGCCCTGCGCTTGCATGCAGCTGAGGCCCTCGAGGCCCGGGGGGGGGGGGGGGGGGCGATGCCGTTCTTCTGAACATCGATGGCGTCACGTGCGTTATCGCTGCCAGCTTCTGGGAGCCGATGTTGCAAGCCACGCCCATCTGGTAGTGGCCCGAGAAGCACTGGGCCATAATCACGTCGAGCTCCTCGAAACTGCTCCAAGTCAGCCGATGGAGGCCGCGCCAGCCGACGAACGTCCGCAGCAGCTGGCGATAGCTTCGCTCGGTGTTCGAGCGCACGGCCTGCGTCTCGAGCAGGGTGAGGCCTCCCATTAGCGGCCGCTCCGCCACTGCCTGGCGCGCCAGCATCTGCCGCTGGGCAGCGGCTGCCGAGGGGGTCGGCACCCGCGAGCCGCGCGCTGCGTCGGCGCCCTGGCAGTCCAGCACGCCTGCCACGCAAACGGCCGGCACCTCGCCTCGGGCGGGGGCCCTCCGGCCCCCGTGCGCCGCTGCAGCAGCCATGGCGCCCGCGGCCGACGGCGTCGGAGGGTTCCGCTCCGAGGCGACCCACCGCGCGTGGAGCTCGGAGCCCGATGCGATCGGCAGTGCACAGACACGCCCAAGACTTCGACGAATATTCCTGCTCTGAGATCCCCCCTTGACCACTCCAAGAGCTAAGGGCGGGTTGTCTATCAGAAGAAAGACCTGACGACAAACACAGCTTGAATCGCGCAACAGATGACGGTAGGCCAAGCATAGGGCCTCTCCCTCCAAGTGCAGGATGTTAGCGCGACCGAGACCTTAACGGCCGCTGTGGGCCTCCACCCTTCGCTGCAAGTGATAGTAGCTGGGCCCTGGTTGAACCTCACTCTGAAGTCGCCCAAGACGCCCTCTGACTCCAAGACGTCCACGGGATTGCCCGTCGACTCGGAGACCTCGAAGCCCTTGCAGAGGCCCACGTGCGGGAGCGCGCAGTCGTCCAAGACGCCGTCCGAGACAACTCCAGCGGGGGCCTTGGGGGCCGCAGGAGCTTGAAGGACATGGCTGGCTGAATCAACTGACTGCGAACCATCGCCGCCGCCAACGGCATGACTGAGTGAGAGAACGCGAGTATGGGAGCGACAGCTGTGAGATGACATCAACTTGTTTTTCACGCTGCTCCTCTCGACCGCCGATCCCGCCGCGAGCGACCTCGCGCGCGCGGAGGCGGCGCCTGCCACCCTGAACCGCCAGCGCTCTGAGAAGCGGCCGCACTCTGCCGCGTCGCCTGGTGCCAGCCGCCGCCGCATGGCGCCGAGCCCGCAGGGCGCTGCATCGCTGCGCGCGGCAGCGCCGCGCCATCTAGCGGCGACGTCCGCCTGGGGCACCCGCGACAAGTTGCGGACCAGCTCGAGCTCGCGCATCGCCGAAGTCCAGAGCCGCCCCGGGCGGCCGCCGAAGGTCTCCACGAAGGCGTAGCACGCATGCAGGGTGGTGAGAGCCTCTCTGCGGACCTTGGTAGTCCACGTGATGTGACCCAGCACAGCTCGCAAGGCATAACCTGTCGTCCAGCGTTTCCGCAGCAGGCTGCTGATCGCCGCCCTCACCCTCCAGACGTTTGGGGCCTTGATGGTCAGTGAGGTCCCCTCGTGCAGCTGTAGCCCGAGAAACTCGACGTTGGCGGGCGCCTCGCAGATCTCGTGAACTACCAGCCCCGCGAGCCTGAGATGACTGACCAGCTTGTCGAGCGGGCGGTTGGCTGCCTCGGGCGTGACGCCGACGGCGATCACGTTGTCGACGTAGGCCCCAGCGGCTACGGGTCGGTCGCGATCCAGCTGGATGCCGACCTGGCCGTCCACGATGACGTTGGATGGGCCCACCCCGCTGCGCAACAAGCAGGTGGCCGACGCCTCCTGGCACAAGTGCAAGGCCCGCGAGAAGCCAATGGGCACCGCCACCACCTTGGCGGTGACCAGCTAGCCAGGTGCGAACGGCAACTCCGCGGGGCCTGCCTCCACCAAGAATGAGCCACCGATGGCGGGCAGCGTGAGGTAGTCCTCCATGCCTGCCAGGAGTCGCATGTGGTAGAACGCGCGCTCCAGGTCGGCTGCGGCGATGCAGGCGCCTGCCGGAGGCACTTCTAGCGAGCTCTAAGCACAGGCAGTGGGTAGCCTGGTCCTTGGAGGCGGCCGAAAGAAGCAATTTGCGATACGTGTATCAAATGTGACGCGTTGACCCCCATTCTTCTTGGAAGCGAAAAACAGGCCCACAGAACCCTCGGTGCCCAACGCCTCCGGGAACGAAATCGTCCCACGGGCGTGGAGCTCACCCAAGAACTCAGCTTAAACGTGCGGGTCGCCAAAGAGCTTCCGATCGCAGTAGGCACCGCGGGGGCAAGCGGTCGACATCAGCTCAGCGGCTTCCTCTTGAGGTCTGAGCATATGGATCCGCCAGCGCCTTAAACGCACCTCCTCCAAGCTGCCCGCGAGGGAGACAATGTCCACCGGGCGTCAAGCTAGAGCAGGCCACGAGATCTGCTCTCGGTTGCAGGGCACTGACGGGTTGGGCGCGCGGTCGCCGTGGACCGACACGCCGTGGAGGAGCTCCTCGAGGGCCCCGTCCTCGCAGGCACGCGTCTCTCCATACTTCTCTGGGCGCCGTCCCAGCCGATGAGGGGCGGTGCTCATGTGATCAATGGCAGTGCGCTGGCACTCGTTGACCAACCTCGTTGCGACAACCGCAGACTGAACTCAGGGATGCAATGGCCTCGTTTAGCCGAGCCCGATGATGAGTATGAACAGCCTGGCGTCTCTGCGAGCGGCGCCCGCCAGCATCATATCGAGAATGTGCTGACCCCGCAAGCGGCAACGGGAAGATGTCGCGCTGGCGGTCGCGTCCACGGCGGTGCAAGTCCGCCGAGCTGGTGCGCTCATCTGGCTGAACGGCCTGCCCGTCTCCCAGGCCGCTCCACACCGATGGCGTCATGACTCCGCGGCGGACGCACCGCGCCCGCCGCCCTTCTTCTTCGGGTTCGGCTTACGAGGCCTCTCAGGTCCAGCATCGGCTCCACCAGCTGCGAGAGCGCGTTCCTCCCGAGCTTTGCGCCACTCCTTCGTTATGGCTGCACCCTTCTGCAGCTGCTGCGATGCGAAGTCCCGAAGGGGCGGAGCCACGCACACGTGGCCGCGACCGTGCGTGAGGCCCGTTATCAGATTCTCGCTCACGCCGAAGTCCGTCTCGCTCTCGAAAACGTGCCGATACCTCTCGTTCTCCGTCTGGATGGCCCGCGCCACGAGCTCCATCGAAGCCAGATTGGAGCTGTGCAGCTGGTCGTAGCACAAGCCGACCTCCAGCAACCTGCACATGAACTCGTGGTTCACGACCCCTGGCTCGTCATCGCGAAGCTGGCCGTCGGTGCGCCACTTCAGGTGCCAAACCATCGGAGACCCGGCGACGCGATGGATGAAGAGCGATGCCCGCAACAGCGTCCTCGGGCCGCCAATCGGCCAGTCGCTGAGCGGGGTCTCCACGAGCAAGCGCACGGCGACGCCGAAGTCGCGATGCCGCTCCCCTCGGATGTCGTGGGTCACCGCCATGATCCTCAGGTCGCCTCCAGGAGCAGCCTCCGCCGCGCCGACCGCGGCCACAAGGGCGCTGGCCCAGCAGCCGCTGCAGGCGCCAAGGGGGCCGCAGCCGCGGGCGCCGCCGCCAAAGCCCCAGGCGCGCCCGGCGCTCCACCGCCGAAAAGAGGCACAGCACCGCCGCCAGGCCGCCGATCCCAGCCGCCAAGCCGCCACCGACTGCTGACGCCAGCAACGCGCCTCCGCCAGCTCCAGGACCGCCGAGAGCCGCCGCCAAGCCGCCAACCCCAGCCGCCGCGCCGCCGCCTGCCGCCGGGGCGGCCCCCACAGCAACTGCGGCCACGCCCGCTGGGACCACGCGCCCACCGACGTTCGGCACCACCGCCGCGCCGGCTGGCACTCCGAGCTCCGCCTCCGCCGCCTGCTGGGCCACGGCGATGGCCGCCGCGAGAGGCACCGCGCGGAAGCGATACTCCCCGTCGCCTCAGATGCCTGCTGCAGCGCCTCCAGCCGCCCCGCCGGCGCACACCACGACCGCCACGACGTCGGCGCCGCCGATCAGCACCTCCAAGTAGGCGTCGCCATCGGGAGTGAGGATCCCGACGCCCCACGGCACCGAGGAGGCCAGTGCCAGTACGCGCCTCTCGTGCCACACTCGCCTGCCGCCGACCGCGTAGAAGATCATGACGAAATCGCCCGGCATGACGCCGAGCGAGCTCCGAGGATGAGCCATCCTCAGTGGCTGGAGGCGCCCCGCCTGGCCCTCGCTGCAGCCGCCTGCTCGCGAGCCTCGTCCTCCAGGCTCAGAGGCTCCACGCGGGCGGCCTCTGCGCGACGCGCGCAGCCTCGGCGGCCAGCCAAGCAGCGGCCTGCCGCGCCGCAGGCCGCTCCCGCCAAGAAGACCAGCACCAGGGCGGCGTGGCCCAGCACGGTCTCCAGCCAGGTCGGCGGCTCGGCCGCCGCGATCGGCGCGCCGGCGCCGCAGCTCAGCGCACGCCTGCACACACAGGTGGGGCACTCGGTCCGAGCCGCCCACACAATCGCCGCGGTGCCCGCTGATCGCAGCGACTCTCCGAAGAGGTAATGGACGAGACTCTGCATCCGTCAGCACTTTGGGCCCCGATGGCGATGGAGACATCCCCATTGCGGCCCCCTCGCGTTACACCTACGCAAAAATGTTGTGAAAACGCACATCAGAAGAAAACGCCCAACATATTCAAAAACAATGAACATTTCGTAAACAAATCGTCCCCAGACGATTTTGCCAATAGTTTTGAATGTTCCTCCCGTAAAGGGACAGGCTATGTGTGACAGATGGCCTTGCGAATGTCCCCAGCCTGGAGGACCCCCCAACAAGGCCCCAAGAGAACCCAACGATATCCCCAATGTTTCTCCAAGAGGCTCTAACATGAAAAAGCTGGAGCGAGATCGTAGTTCGTGGCGCGCTCAAGTCTACAGGCGAAGCGCAGTAGAGCTATGCTACACAAACCTCAGCTGAAATTGGTCACGCCAAAACAACGTAAAATGTCCAAACTATACGCAACGCTAAAGGAAGATGTACCCACTTCGCTTACTGAACTGCAGCCACCTACAACTAACAACAAAGACGCCATGTGAAATTGAGCTACGCCACATCGAACACCTGATTGTATTGATCCATCCGTTCGTTTGGTTGGTGCTATGCCTCGCGAATTCACAATTCGCCTCCAATTCCCTGCTGACGACAGCTTGTCCGGGAGCCATTTCGGGATGGACATGTGAAGATGCGCGTAGCGCTGAAAATTAGATCCACGAGTGAAGCAGAATGTGCTAACACAACGCGACCCAAAAATTGGTTAATCTTGTCGAGGGGAAACCTTACGGAACTTGATATAGCCACGAACCACATGCATGGAACGGGGAAGGTTGGTCCACGAACCACATGCATGGCCCTGTCAGGTGTGCGGCGTCTTGGAGGCGATTTTGGAAGTCTTCGTGGTCGCTTGTGGACGCCTCTTTTGGGCCGTTTTATTAGCGCGCTGCTGGGCCGTCTGAGACCGTCTACTAGGCTTGTCTGGACCCGTCTTGGTTCTCGGAGCTCTTGGGGAGGTTCCCACACGTTTGTCTTGTTGCTGTCGCACGGGTGCATGCTGCACCGAACCCTGGCGAGCAAGGAATTCATCACAATCGTCGTCAGCGCACCGCAGCCGAGAGAAAGGCGCGACGTCTCTGCAGAAGAGACAGACCAGCTGCTCTTCGAACAGGCTGCCCGTCATACTCATTCATCCGTCAGCTCTGGGGAGGCTCCCCACACTGCTGTTTCGGGCAGCGCCGGCGGTCGCAGGCGCGTCGGCGGGTGGCGCCGCAAGCTCACAGCACTCCCGACGACCAGGAACACATCCGTGGGAGAAACATGTGTGAAAACATGTTGTGTGGTTCGTTCACTTTCCTGGAGGCCTCTTGAGGCATCTTGGAGGCTCATGTGCTCTCCAGTGGAGCCTCTAAGGGATTCCTCTCGCTTCGCGGGGTGCGCGTCCAGAGAGAGCAGAGTATGAGCGTTGTGGGGCTTGCTAGGGGCCTCTAATGCGCCTCGGGGAAGCTTTTTTGAAGCTTCCTGGGGCTCTCTTGGGGCCTCTCGGAGGCGTGCGGGGGATCCTCGGGGCCCCTCATGGGGTCTCTTGGGTTATCACAAGGCGCTCTTGGGCTGCCTGGCACCTTTAGAAGCCGTCTGGGGGACATTTGTGACTGGCACCTTTAGAAGCCGTCTGGGGGGCATCTGTGGGTCGTCTTGGGGCCCTCTACAGCCATCTTGGGGGTCTCTTCGACAATTGTCGCACCGTCTTGAAGCCCCCTGAGTCATCCTGTGGCCCTCTTGGGCCGCCTGGAACAATTTGACGGGTATCTTGGACAGTCTTGGGGCCATGTGGAAGGCCCACGGGGCCGTCTGTGACCGTCAGACGAAAGGAAAAGGGAGGACGCGAAAATCCTTCAAAAACCTTCGGATCATCAATGTGTTTGGCATCTTGAGGTCCTCCTGAGGCTCCCCATGGAGCCCTCTGGGGCCGTCTTGGGGATCTCTGGGGCTGTCTCGAAGTCGTCTTGGGCCATTTTGGAACCATCGTGGGGCGTTTGCAGGCCGTCCTCGCCCTCTCGGAATCGTCTGAGGGGCTATCTCAGACCATCCTGGGCCACCTGGGGACCATCTGAGACCATCCGTGTCGAGGGCTGCCGTCGTTATCCGCCGGCTTCCGCTGGGCTACCCCCCGTGGTCTGGGCCAATATTCGACCCCACCCTCCAAGACCCCCCGGAAGCAAACACCAAACATGAACCATCCGCAAGGCCAGGTTAAAACGAAGACAGACTAAACGTGACACTCACGACAAGCTGAAGCCAAATGTTACTAGAAGAAGCCAAGGCCAAGCTGCCAAATTCAAGGTAGAAGACTGCCTTTTCGCCCTGCGCAATGCAATATTACATTTACATGCAGCGAGCACCGCTGCACTCTTGTACTTCATTCGCGTAGCTTTTTGCACTGTGGCTTGTTCAATTGTTGTTTGATTTGGTTTGTGGTGTTTCGCTTTGAGTCTGCATGCTTTGCTTTGCAGTGCGCCAGAATGCTATGACTTGTACCGCAACTATGTTCCTTGTCGCTCCATTGCATCACGCTGAAGCGCAACGCGATGAAGTGCAAACACATGAAATGCACTACAATGCAAAATACTGTATGGGCTTGCAACTCAATGGAAACTATCGCAATGCAATGCCCCGCAATGGTGCAACCCAATCCGAAAAAAACCCAAACACGTGCTACTCCATGCAACCTCAAACAGCGTGCGGCGACTCAGTCCGCAGCAACGCGAATGATAGCATTGCACACCAAAACAACCTAACGCAAATCAAATGGCATCATAACAAACAAACCACTGCAACGAACGTGTCCGAAGTGCAACCGGACTACGTCGTGAAGAACATAGACAGACAAACGCGATGCAGAGCACCGCAGAGGCAGGGCGATGAACGCAGAACGGCGAAAGGGTCACAAGCGCAGCAGCGCGACGCAGTGCACAACGCAAAGCCCGGTGCAGAACAAACGGGCTGGAAGGCAACAAGAGCCCGAACGTGGCGGCGCGCACGAGGGGGTGGAGGGAGGGGGGAGGGCCTCTTAGAAGGAGGCTGCTTCTCAGGGGGCGCCGGCCTTTTATCTATAGATAAGTAAGGCCCGCGCCTTGTAAGAAGCATGGATGCTTCTAATATTGAGCAGGGAGCGACCGTCCTGGCATTCCTATAGTCCTACCACGAAATGTTCTTAGAACCAAACAATGTTCAAAAAACAAAAACAATGCTCTTAGAACGCACGCCCGATGTGTTAAAACAAGACAGCCCCAGCCAGATATGTTCTCAGAACATTTCGTGGGAACCACAAAAGGTTGATAATAGAAGCCCTCCACCCTCCCCTCCCTTCCCTGCCCCTGGGCGGCGCTGGGAGCGAGGGGGGGAGAGAGAGAGGGAGGGAGGGAAAGAGTGGGAGAGCACGAAAGAGAGAGAGAGAGAGAGACAGAGAGACAGATACATCCTGAGAGAGGCGTGGGTGCATAGAGAGGGAAAAAGACAGAGAGCGAGAGAGAGGGAGAGAGGGAGAGATAGATAGACAGAGACTGAGAGGAGAGGGGGGAGAGCATGACCCCGAATTTCAATGCGTGCCGAGAGAGAGAGAGAGAGAAAGAGAGAAGAGGGTGAGAGAGAGAGAGAAAAGGGAAAGAATGGCACCGAATCTAAATGCGGCCCGTATTTCCGGGGAACAGAAGCAGCGATACTTTTCGCATGGACAAAGGGCGAAAGGGATGCGGAGCAGAACACAAACACACAGGAATTAACAACAATGCCACACCTTCTATGAACAACAATGTGTTCTACACGCGGCAAGCCACCGCCACCGACTTCTTTCACAAATCCACCCACACAGTCTTATCAATTCGCCTCAAACTGGGGCTGTAAAGAAACTCATGTGGTATTTCCCGGCTCCTATAGATGCACTTGGCATGAGACAAGAAAAATGCCCAACGTCGCCAACCCTTGACTTGGACGCCAGAAACGTATAGGCTGCGTCAAACAATGTACTCATAATGTCTCCGACTTCAACGCAGGAGCGTACGATGCACCGACGGTGCAAGAACATTCGTGTGTGGACCGCATTCACTGGGAAATGCAAGACCGACCGCACGCGGGTGACTCGCTTCATGGAGGGGAGCCACTCAAGAAATGTTCACAGGGGAATGACCTTGGTCTCGTGGTTGGTGTTTCTGTGCACTCGCTCGGACACCTCCTTCTGCTGCATCGTGCGGTTGAGCTCCTGGCGGTGATACTGCACTGCGATAGGAGCAATGCGGCAGCTTCCGATCGCAGCCACTATAGCTGCAGGCAGACGAATCCCTTTCCACACCCAGAGAGAGCTTTTCTTGCAAACCTGGCCGAAATCCCGCGCAAAGGAAATCAAGTGCCAAGAACATGCGGGGCTCCACTGCCGTGTTGAGCACGATTTCAGAAGACGCGCAACTGGATCACGGGGAAATGGCTACAGAACGGGGGGTGCTAACTCCTCTCTTTTCTCTTTGGCGGAAGGGTGGAGGACGCCCTGACCCCAAACCCTAACCACACATCTCTAATCATCCTGTCAGACGCGTGCGCAACGCCATCAGCAAGAACGCACGCGGAGACTGATTGCCGCTCGCACCTAGCGACCACAAGTGTCATCCAGTGCTGCGAAGGGCGACCTGGACGACGCTCGGCCGGTTGCGCGGGGTGCCATCAGGGAAACAAAGGACTCCACGCACTACCGAGGCCGTACCGCTGCTGGCAACACCCGCATACAATGCTATCTGCCTGGCAACCAGAATATCAGAACGGCTCTGCGCACCATCTCAGCATTGCTCGCGCGAGTTACGTGCGAACATGGTGTGCCTTGCGCATACCTGAAACATTCAGCGCTGGAATGCATCTTGCCAGAGTCTAGCTGCACAACGTACGAAAATTTGCTCACCACGCCTGCGTCAAATATTTCGCAACCTGTGCGCCAGAGTGCGCCCCATCCTCGATTACTCTGCCGCAAATGGCTGGGGAAACTCCCTCGTCTGGAGCAAAGGGGGGAGGTCCCCCCCCCCTCATCTGAGAGGGGGAGATAAACCCACACACCCCATACCCCTTGAATGGAGATAAGGGGGGATCGCATACACACACACACACACACACACACACACACACACACACACACACACACACACACACACCACACACCCACGCACGCACGCACGCACGCACGCACGCACGCACGCACGCACGCACGCACACACGCACACACGCACACACGCACACACGCACACACACAAACACACACACACACACACACACACGCAAAAACACACACACTTTACGCAACAATGGCAATGATATGTTCTTCACGCAACAATGCCAATGAAGGGTTAACAGCCGATGGCATCCACCAGAGACCACGGTCGCCAGTCGCAGAAAATATGTCCTGCGAGCGTGGCCGAAACTCGGGGCGGAAATTCGGGCGCTTGTTCGCCTGAGCGAGAGGAGGGAAGGATGATGATGAGGAGAAGAGGACAAACAGCACGAGAAGGAAGAGGGGAATGCTGACACGAAAGTGTCCCCAATTCATATGCGCAGCGCACCGAAATAAGGACACTCGGTGACAATCTAAGCGGTGACCCAAAATCTGGCACAAAGGTCCCGCGGAGGAGGAGGCGGAGGAAGGAGGGGAAAAGGAGGGCGAGGAGGAGGAGGAAGAGGTAGAGGATGCCCAACGCAGGCACACTGGGAACGTCGCTAGAGCCAACCTGCCATAGGCGAACTCAAGCTACGGACCTGGGCCAGAAAGACTGCACGGGGCAGACTGTGTGTAGATATCCCCCGAGGCCGGAACTGCCAACGATACTTCACACGAGTGCTGCAATCGAGGGCGCCATGAGCGCATACAACAAGTACGAACGAAAGGGGGAGGGGGAGAAGAGAGGGCGGCGCCGCCTCGCCGAGCCGCGTGGATCGACCGTGCAGCCTACTTGGACCACACGCCCAGGGATTCAAACGAGGAGGAGGGGAGGGAGGGAGGGAGGGAGGGGGGGAAAGAGGAGCGAAAGAGGGCGACATGCTGCTGACACGCTGTGAACAGAAGTACAGGCACTGACGCTAGAAGACTACACTGAAAACAAAGACAAACGCATGCTGAATCAGGCGAGGGAGGAAACGGAAGAGGGGGACATCCCTAGACACTGAAACTGGCACCGAGCGGCCGACGAAAAATGCATGTCTCGAGTCTCCCTCACGCCGGACGTCCGGGCACGCTCCTGGCAACAGGGCAGGGTTGTCCTGCGAACGTGGCCGAAATTCGGGCCGCAGACCTGTTCAGAGGGAAAGGAAGGAAGGAGGGAGGAGTAGGAGGAGGAGAAGGAGGAGGAGGAGGAGGAGGGAGGAGGAGGAGGAGGAGGAAGGAAGGAGGAGGAGGAGGGAGGAGGAAGGAGGAGGAGGGATGGAGGGAGGAGGAGGAGGAGGAGGAGGAGGAGGAGGAGGAGGAGGAGGAAGAAAAAACATGTACTGCACATCACAGGGCCTCCTGCGCGCGAGCGCGAGGCAGGCCAGCGTCTTGGGACGGCCCTGCGCGGCCTCTGTCACAGAAGCGGCGGAAGCCTTCTGCGATTCTGCGGGGGGCCTATGCCCGTGCCGCGCACGAGCTGGTTGGTTGTGGCATGAGTCGGTTTGACTGTCAGCCCGTCAGCGAAACAAACCTAACGCATTGCAATATGCCTGTAACTGCCCGGTCACGCTGCGGGACGTTTCAACCGAAGGGCGATCCACTGCCGTCCCTTCTCCTGGTACCACCGTGGGATCATGCAACACCGACGCAACACCCATGGATACATGTGCCGTGACGCGGCGAGGGGTGCGGGCAGAGGACACACACACACACACACACCCACACGTGAGAAACAACCGAGCAGTCGAAGGTCTGCACAGATCCGTCGCCCTCTTCCTCCCTCCCCGCTCCTCCTCCTCCCCCCGATCCTCATTACCCGATCGCTTCCCCAAGACGAGGCACATCGGGGATCTCTGAGGTCCAGCGATTCTTGAGGGTGCCTCGGGCGCCGCGGCCGCTCCAGAGCGCCGCTCAAGAAGGCGCGGAGACCGCTCTGCAAGCCTCTGGAGCTATGTATCCCCGTGGTGAGGCCGCGCGACCCTGCCAGATCCTCCTTCCTCCCCGTGCCTCCCTCTCATCGTTCCCCCATCGGGTGAGCGTGTACAGTTGTCCTCCTCCGCTGCTCTGCGAAGTCAGAGGACGACAGCATCCCTGGCAAGACGGGCCTGCAGGACCACCTTCCAGCAAAGAGCGAGCCGAGAGGAGGCGCGCGCGCACATTGCTCGATGCATGCTGTGGCTTCCTCGCAATGGTTACAGACCTCAATTGGCCACACGGCCAGCACAACGCACCAATCAAGCACGGAGCCACGCGAGGGCCAGTTTGCAGTAGGCGAGCAGGCTCGCGAGATCTTGGCCTGGGCAGACACTCGCGCCAAGAAGCTAGCATGCTGCCCAGCGAATGTGGCCTGGGAACGGGCCCCTGGTTGTGGCCAGGGAGTCTATGTTCACGCATGGCCCGAAACTTACACAATAATAATGTTGTGGATGCCGCGACACATGGACAGCCTAACAGTCCTGACGTTGAACTTAAAATGTGTTCAACGTGTAGGAAAATGTTTTAAACATGTGTTTTACATGTCAAAAACATGTTTAACACTTGTCTTAGACATCTAGAAACTATTTGGCAACATGCTTCCTCTCCATTGATCGTCCTCCACAACAAGAATGGGCGATGCTTGGGTGTCTGGATTCGCCGGCTGGGGCCCGACTCTGTGCGGCGAGCCTGTCACCATAAAAGCCTGGCCGTGACTGCCCTGTCACAGTCCCCGCTTCCCTCCTTCACCCATCTCGTGCTATGCTGAGTTGGCCGCGTGGGGCCAAACGACTTCGCTTCCCGCCTCGATTCTGCCCAGGCTCAGCACGTCCCAACGCCAAGACCTGCACCACAACCAACAGCGCCTGCACACCGAGACCCAAACGTGCAGGCGTGGGCACCGAGACGGCAGCACACGGGCCCGGGAGGGCCTCGCCCCCCCGACCCGAAGCCGCAGGGCGCTCCATGGCTCACCGGAGGCGCACACGAGGGTCGACTGAAGAGGGCGCTTTTCTGCTCGGCGTTTCGACGTTGTCATGAAGGGGGGGGGGGCGGTCTGGCTCCGGACCTCTGCTCAGTGCGACTGTTCGCAGCAGTGCGTCCATTATGGGTGAGGCTCCACTTGCTCGAAGCGGGCGCCAAAAACAGCCAAGATCTACTCCACGGGGTTGGGAAGGTTGGGTGCGAGGGCCCGCGCCGATCGGCAAAGCAACGAATAAAAAACGACCACGAAGGCAAACATGTTCGAGGGCAAAATCTGTGGTCACACGAGCTGCCCCAATACGCAACACGCAGTCCGTAGCATATTGATACGGAGCTCCACATGAAGACTGAAAACGTAGGCGTGACGCGATACCTTTGCCAAAACGTGGGCCAGGACGTGCCGAGCCAACACGCGGCGTGTTGACACTGACGTTTTGGACACGGCACGCGTGTTGCGTTTCATAACGGGAGTATCAGGGCAGCTAAAAGGTGGTCACTGAAGGCAAGCACTGCTGAAGGCAGACATAGTTGCCTCCAGTACCCCCTTGCACAGAGTGAAGAACATCTCCAGCTAAGAGACTGGACATCACGCGGAGCGCTTTCTGAACCAGCAGCCCAAGTCCAGGCATGATAACATTATACGGTGAAAAGGCGCTCCGAGACAACGCGCAAGGTCCAGTCCAGATTCCTGATGTTCCAAAACGGAATTTGGATTCCACGTCAACTGCTGCGTTTTCTTCAGATGTTTGATGGGCTGGACTGGGGGTGACAGAGAATGTGAAATACTCGGTGTAGGGTGGGTTTTCGTACCGCAGTGCGTTGCATGTTTTCGTTTTTGCGTACTGCGGCGCCCTTCCAACCTCCCTCCTTCTCCTCCTATCCCTGGAGGTGCATTGCGTTTCAACGGTTTGCTCTTGCAGCGGGCCCTGGGCTCCTTTCCATTTTCCTCCTCGTCATGTTACCCAGAGGAATCAGACCCAACATCCCACCTAGAATCTGGACCAGAATCCGATTCAGAATCCGACCCAAAATACACCCCAACTCATAATCAACATACAACCTATAATCCCAACCTAGATACCCTCTTCCGTCTTCTCTCGTTCTTCTGCTTCACAGTCATGGGGCGCTGGGTGTTCTGCTTCATTCTCGTGATGAGCTTGTTTGTTTTCTGATTCGAAGTTGTGATGCGCCCCTTTCCCGCCCCCAGCGTTTCCAATCCACCACACGTGACGTTAACCATCAACTGACACTGGCTATCAAACACGCAATGGCCGTGGTGACGCTGGCTTGCAAGTGGAGCCATTGGCAATAAATAACGGGAGATGGGGGAAACTACGCCTGGTAAGAAGAAGAACGAAGACTACCAGCGAACCATCCTCACTCCCTCTCGCCTAAACCTGCCAACGAAATCCGCCGATCCGGCGTGTGAGTTTCTGAGAGCGTGGGCTTGAGCTCGCTCAAGCTTCGCTCTGGAAGGTGGGGGTGACGCAAACGACGAAAACCGACGAAAGAATTGACACGCGAGGGGGGGGGGGGAAAGGAGAGAGAGGGGGGGGGAGCTCGCTCAAGCGTCGCTCTGCGGGGAGGGGGACACCAACGACGAAAGAATTGACACGCGAGGGGGGGGGGGGGAAAAGGGGGGGGAAAAGAGGGGGGGGGCAGGAGAGAGGGGGGGTGGGGGCAGGAGAGAGGGGGGGGGAATGAGAGAGGGGGGGGAGAGGGGCGGGGGGAGACAGGAGAGAGGAGGAGGGGGGGGGGGTGACAGGAGAGAGGGGGCGGGGGGGAGGGAAAGAAGAGAGGGGGAGGGGGGGACAGGAGAGGAGGAGGGGTGGGGACAGGAGAGAGGGGGGAGGGGGGGGGAAAGGAGAGAGGGGGGGGGGGGGGAGGAGAGGGGGGGGGGGGGGAGAGGGGGGAGGGGGAGGGGAGAGAGGGGGGGGAGGGGGGGGGGGGGGGACAGGAGAGAGAGGGGGGGGGGGGGAGAGAGAAGGGGGGGGGAGGGGAAGAGAGAGGGGGGGGGGGGGACAGTAGGAGAGAGGGGGGGAGGGGGACAGGAAAGAGTAGGGGAGGTGGGGAGGGGGGGCCGGGATCATTATTTTTTCAAACGTAACAGGGTCATATCCTCACCGCCCTCGCTTAAAACTGCCAGTGAAGTATACTCACGCCCCTTGCCTAAAACTGCCAACGAAAATACCCCCGCGCCCATGGCCTAAAACTGACATCGAAATATCCTCACCGCCCTGACTGAAAGCTGCAAGCGAAATATCTCAACACCCCTTGCATAAAACAGTCCGCGAAGCATCCTCACGCCCCTGGCCTAAAACTGCCAGCGAGATATCTTCAACCCGATGATTTAACACTGCCAGCGAAATATCCCCACCGCCCTGACATACAACTGTCAGCGAAATGTCTCAACACCCTTTGAATAAAACAGTCCGCAAAATATCTTCACGCCCCTGACCTGAAACTGCCAGAGAGATACCCTCGACCCCCTGACTTAAAACTGCCAGTGAACTATCCTCACCGCCCTGGTTTAAAGCTGCCAGCGAAACATCCTCACGCCACTAGCCTAAACCTGCCAGCGAAATATCCTCACCCCCCTGGCCTAAAACTGCCAGCGGAATATCCGCACACCCCTCGCTTCAAATTGCCAGCGCAACATCCTCATCGCCCTCGCTTGAAACTGCCACCGAATTATCCTCCCCGCGATGACGTAAAGCTGCCGGCGAAATATCCTCACCCCCCTGGCCTAAAACTGCCAGCGACATATCCCCAACTCCCTGACTTCAAACGGCCAGCAAAATATCTTCACCAAAACTATTGGTTTCGCCGTTGCACGCTCAGAGATTCAGAACTTTGTTTTAGGACAATAATAAGTTTCTGTGCGCCAGCTCACAGATCTTAGAACTTACAAGGCTTTCAACACCATGGGTTATGGAGCGGTTGCCTTTCATAGTCATGAACCCATTGACATCTCTAAGATCTCGGAACGGGCGCACAAGAAAGCACTGTTGAACAGTAGCTTCTGGATCTCTGACTCTCGATTGGAAATTCCCTGAACCTTTGAGGAATAAAAGAGTTCAAGTAATGATGCAGATTGCGACAGGACTCCATTTGTGGCGACAGACAAAAAGATTCCTTTTGTGGCGGAGTACAGAAAGAGTCCTTCTGTGTCGGAATACACAAAGATTGTCTTGTGGTGGATTACCACAATTGAGCAGGGACTTACCGTCCCGGCATTCCTATAGTCATACCACGAAATGTCATTAGAACCCACAAATGTTCTAAGAACGAAAACAATGTTCTTAGAGCATCAACCCGATGTGTGAAAACAAGACAGTCCCAGCCAAACATGTTCTAAGAACAGTTCGTGTGACCCACAAAAAGTTCTTAGAACATTGTTCGATGGGGCTATGGGCGAGCCGGGACGCTTCGACACTGCTCGACACCAGGATTCTTCCATAACCGCGCCCACGTCCAAAGGACGACCCCCCACCCGAGAACGAATGCAAAAAGCTTCGCTGCAGGGCATTCTGACAAACAGTAAGACGCTTGTCTTCGGTGATCTTGGTGCCTGCCTCCAGAGAGCAATGCGCATTTTCGGAAGGGCCGCTCAACGACGGCACGCTCGCCCGAGCAATGCTGGAGTCTGGCACGTTGCTCGCCGTGGGTCCGTGGCAGAGACGTTGATTCCCAATTCAGCTCATACATGTGTAGACAAATATGTGTACATACTTCACAATGATGAACGCTTCCTCTGAGATGCAAGGACCCGAAATTGCGAAATCGCCGAAGGTTAAACATGTGGAATGCACTGCGGTGGTTATTTCGCATATAGAAAACCATTTGGATCATTGGGCTGGGCTTTGGGACAGGCCAGGAGAAACATTTCCAAGTGAACAACCCATGAGTCAACATCCGCCCAGGATCGATCTTACACTTTCCTGAAAGACCAAGACCCCAAGGGCCTAAAGATCCCGCTTCTGGAGGAAGCCCGACAAGGCTCTTCTAGTTAGGATTTTACGGGGGAGCGGGGGGGAACTGATGCCATTTCTGGCACGTCAACGGCCCCTCGAAATTTCAATGGAACTTTCGTGCCACTAATGTACACATAACGTGGACGTATCATTCGATTCGCACTCTTACGGTCGGGAACTTCTGCTCAGCATGTCGCGGCGGCGGTTTCGGCGACACGCCATGACTGATCTGCAGGGTGGGAAGCTCGGCAAGGCTCGGGACGTTGACGCTTGGAGATTGGGATGAGCGTGCCGCGTCGAAGTACGGTGGGCCAGAACTGGCGACGCAGCCCCATCTCCCCACAAGACTACGATCACGCACAGCTCGTGCCTGAGCCCGTCTTTCTCGGCTACGCGCAAGAGTGACCCTGGGTGAGAGTGGCCTTTGGTGCGCGGCTCGTTGGGGGCCATGGGGGGACCAAACACAAGCGCACGACGCTCCTATTGCATCGCGTCCAGCGATCGGGGGACCCCAGTGGCCCCGCACCAAAGGTCACTTTCGCGAAGGGTCGCTTTTCGTCTACGTTGCCGACGTTCCTCCTCCTCCGCCTCCCCTGGTCGGTCCGCCACGGCGTGGGCGGCGCGGCGTGGGCTCCTTCGCAAGCCGCTCCAGGAGGATGCTGGCGTCGAGCTTGCTGTCGGCTGGTGCCCCAGCTTGACTGGCAGGAGCACCCTGGACCTGCAGAGGCGCAGAGGAGAGTTCAGCTGAAGAATCATCATCCTGATGATGGGCATGTTTTCCACCACCACCACCATAAGTTGGACGGGGAGGGGGTCCTCCTCCTCCTCCTCCTCCTCCTCGCCTTCCTCCTCCTCCTGCTCCACCTCCTCCTCCTCCTCCTCCACTCCTCCTCTTTGTCCTCCTCCTCCTCGTCCTCCTCCTCCTCCTCCCACCCTCCAACTAGTGGTAGTGGTGGTGGAAAACAGGCTCATCACCTGATCCTTCCTCCTCATTTTGCCCCACGCTCCCTCACCCATTCTTCCTCCTACATGCTTCGAATACGCGAGGCTGTAGGCAGCCATGTGAGTATGCTCGTCTGTTGGCCCGACCCCCCCTTTGCAAGCAAGCGACTCTAGACACCATAGGGTCGTCCTAGTCATCTTGGGTAGGGGCGTGGGGGGGCAAAGGGACTTGCGCTCCACAAGTGCCCAAACACCTCATGTCGTGATCTTTGTTGCGATTCGAAGGGGTCTGGAATCTCCTTTCCCCCCAAGGCTGATGGAAAAAGGGGATACGCATAAGGTTTAGAACCACGACCCTCCAACTCAATCAGCCGTGACACGAGAAATGTATACACTGAAGACTCGTTGAACTATTTTGGAGATTTGCGACGTCTATTGCATTCCCTTGAATTGTTGGGGTCGCTCACAGTCCGGCGATTGAGCAATATCATAATCCAGTGCACGTAGCCATCGGTCGGAATAATTAGGTAGAAACATGAAGTAGGAAGGCGTTGGAAGAATATTGGGTCTCGCCCGCCCCCTCAGTAGGACGGAAAATGTGAAGCCACTCGATCCTTGAAGTAGGAAGGCACTGCAAGTATATTGGATCTAAAAACACATACTTCCAACGACTGGTGGGTACGACAAACGAGCGTGGGACAGCAACGGGAAGGGGGGGTAGAAGACAGCTGCATGCGATGTCGCGGTGCCTTCATGCGCCGGAGGCGCCTATATGCCAAGAAGAGCTGCGTAAAGCGCCCAGCGGAGGTGCGAAAACAGCTGCATGCAACATATCTCGGAACACCTCCCGTTTTCGAATCCCCCGCCATGCATTGAAGGCCTCCCAAATTTGATCCAGTACCGACCGTCCCAGCATTCCTATAGGTCTGCAACGGCATGTTCTTAGAACACAGGAGTGCTCTGATAACGAAAACGACGTTCTTGAAACACAAAATGGGTTGACTCACGCAAGACAGTCCCAGCCAGTAAAATTGAACATCTCGTGCAAACCCTGAGATATGTTTAGAACATCCTTATGTGGGCCATATCGCGATTCAAGAAACTCTGCCTCTGCTGAACAAATGCAGCCAGAACGCGTGGGGTTGGATGATCGCGCAAAATCGCCGATGCGTCGATGATGCATCGAAGATGCGTCGGCGACGCACCGACGTCGGCGCGAAGAAAATCGGAGTCCACGTCGACCCGCATCGCCGACGCTTCGGCGATGCGACGCGATCCTCCGGCCCCGTCTACTCGGACCCCTGTTGGGAGGCCTATAGGTTCTCTCGGGTCGGACAAGTAATGGGGCTCGTACAGCAGGGGGTTGGCGAATCAACCCACCTACGGCTGACTTTCCCGGCGCCCGCCGGCGTCGGACCGAGCAAAAAAGGCGCTCGGTGGCGGCGCCACAAAACCATCTGCGCGCAGCAAATGTCGAAATTATCCCTTTGCCCTATATGTTTCCCCGCTTCGGTGTCTGAGCCGACTCGTCCGACCGGGAGGCTGCTTTACTTCAGGTTCTGGTCGAGGCAACTCGCCTGGCGATATACGTATGGATGGGCCGGTGGGAATATATATATATATATATATATATATATATATATATATATATATATATAGAATCATTTTTTGGTACGCAGGCTCGCGGAGTAGGTCGCAAGCCGGGCAAAGCTAGGGCGGGCCGCGCCGCTGGTGGGGATATTTTTTGGTCTGCGGGCTCGTGGAACAAGTCGAAAACCGTCCGAACAGTAGCCGGGCCGCGACTAGGCAGCAAGAAAAGAGAGGGGCAAGCGAAGCGAGCGCGCGGGCAACCACTCAGAAGGAGGACCAGGAACAACACTCCCAACCCGGTGGCGTGGAAATCCCGGTGGCGACCATCAAGTAGGCGCAGCCAAAATGGTGCGGCGGCGCGACCATGAATACGCAGAAGACAAGCACCCGGTGTGAGTCGGCATAAGGCCCGACAGAAAAACGAGCAGGTCCGATAGACACGCCAGGACGACATCCGTGCCGCGGGTGGCACAACAGCATCGTGCCAACGCCGGAATGAGGAGGGGTCAGCCTCGTCACAGACAGGACCGCGAACGGCAGATCCTTTTGTATGTACACCCCTTGGCACAGGTCGACAGCGAACTCCATGTAGGAGAAAGCAGCCGACGGGCGCCCACAGCCCGAAGAGGACGGCAGCGTAGCGAGACCCCACGGAACCCAAACGGTCACCAGTGGAGGCTGACACCAAGCAGGAGCAGGCCAGGGGCCACCTGACCGCCCATCCCCAGTGTGGTCCTTGCATGGAATTCGAAGCGAGACCGTACGGAACACCCTCTGGGCACCGGTGGAAGCCGACACCAGCCAGGAGCAGGTCAGGGGCCACCTGACCGCCCATTCCCAGTGTGAACCTTGCATGGAATTCAGGCTGTCACAGCACCATCAGACAGCGGTATTGGCAACAACCCCAGCCGCGTGCGATACACCCGGTGAAACGAGGGACAGGAGGGGAACTGCACGCCAGGCACGGTTGGCAAACCGTTGTGGCAGCTAACCGCTGCGGCAATAGGAAGCAGGAGACACGAGCATCGGAGCCCACTGAACCATTTCGGCCATCAGCAGAGGGGGTGGGGGGGCGTCGGTTTAAGGCAGCCAGTAGGCACCGCACCACTCAGTCCTGGTGAAATACTTGATCCCAGGGCGGCTGGGTGTCCCCCAGGGTCGTGTTGCCAGTGGGTTGTGTTGGACGGTCAGAAGGGGTTCTTTCTGTCTTCGCCCGACCCCACACCCAGCGACTTGCGACGATCTTCGCACTCTTCCCGGTGGAAGCGACTGAGCGTCGCAGAGGCGATTGGAACCCGATGCGGCTGGGTGTTCCCAAAGGTGGTGCTGCCGGTGGGTTGTGTTGGACGATCGGCAAGGTCATCTCTGCATTATCCCTGCCCCTTCTCCTGTGGTTCGCGACCCGTTTCGCAACCAATTATCCTGGCAAAGGTGAACGACCATCGAACGAGGCAGCTGGGTGTTCCCAGAGGGGGTGTTGCCAGCGGGTTGTGTTGGACGATCGGCGAAGTCCTCTCCGTCTTCTCCCTGCCCCTCACCCTGCGACTCGCGACTATCCTCACATTCTTCCCGGTGGGGGCGACTGACCGTCGCAGAACCCGTTGGAATCCGAGGCGGTTGGGTGTGCCAAGCGGTCGCGTTGCCAGTGGGTTGTGTGGGACGGTCGGCAAGGTCCTCCCTGATTTTTTCCTGCCCCTCCTCCTGCGATTGCGTCCAGAATTCGCTCGGCGAGGGCGCCGAAACCAGCTGCACGCAGCAAATGTCGCAACCCCCCTTTGCCAAATGCCCCCCCTCTCGTGTCCGACCCGATTTTTCCGACCGGGACGAATGGTTTCCGGCTCTGGCCAGCTCACTGAAGTGAGCTGGCCAGAGCCGGAAACCATGGACCGGCGGGACGTAAAGGTGGGGTTTGGGCAGAGGTGGGGTTGGGAGGAAAACAAATCCAAACTGCCTCCGGAAGAGGGAAACGTGAGCACGAACCCCCGCATGGAGCGGGGAGGGGGGGGATGGGGGCGCGGAGAGGGCCCGGAAAGAAACATAGATGTGGTTTTCGCGCAAGCGGGATTCCCGTGCACACCCTTTCGGCCCAGCGCTGTTTGGAAAAGGCGGCGGAGGGAGGGGGCGGGATGCCATGCTCGTGAACTCTTACGTCGAAGCGTGGCAGAGTCGGCGACTACAATGGGTGCGGTTTGCGAAGGGTGCGGTTTGCCTCCCGTCAAGTCTGTCCCTCTCGCCCCCGGGAAACGGATGACACGGTCACTCAATGCGACCGAATCACATGACACTGTAGGTCCTGCTAGTACAGTGGACCACACATCGAAGATGCCATTGACAATGTCGCTCGGAACGACGACAATCAAGACATTGTTTCCCACAACGGCCCCGGAAAAGGCCGCCACAAAGCAAATCGCAGACTGCACCCCGGCGTAACCGCACCGATTCGAGCCGCCGACGGAGGCAGTCCGCACGCGCGGACAGGCACCCCGGGCTTCGGTGCTGCGACGCGTCCCGCATGCAAAGAGGGGGCCTCCTCCTCCTCCTCCTCCTCCTCCTCCTCCTCCTCCTCCTCCTCCTCCTCCTCCTCCTGGGGGGGGGGGAGAAGACGAGGAGCGGCCGCAGAGGCGGGGGGAGGGAGGAGGAGGCGCACGCACGCGGCGAGGCGGCGCGGGGGCGCGCGGCGCGGCCGAGCCGCAGGGCAGCCCGTGGCAGCGAGCGCGGGGCGGCGGCGCGGGCGCACCCAAAGGGAGGCCATGCTGGTAAACTTGCCTGCGTCTGAAATCAAGCGCCCTCCATCCCTCTCTTAGGGCGGCGAGATCTATACATATCCACTGCTCCCTGGCCAGGCCCAGCCTGAACCCAGCAGCGGTGCATACGCCACGCCCTCCTGGCTTGGCCAGGAGGGCGTATACACAGCTCGTGAGCTCAGGATGGGCCTGGCCGGGGAGCAGTGGATATGTATAGACCTCGCCGCCCGCTCTTTGCCTGGGGGGGGGCGAGGGGTAACATGAGATACAGGCTCGGAGGTCCGCGCGGATTCTTCGGATCCGCGCAGACGCAGGCAAATTTACTGGCGGTGGCCTCCCTTGGGTGCGCCCGCGACGCCGCCCAGCGCTCGCTCCCCTATTGTTGTCATGTTTACGTAGTCGGTCGTTCCCCTGGGGAACATCCTGGGGGGGCACCCTGAGG